TGATCTGAAAACAGGGCCTTTTCGCTAGTGGCACCCTCCCATCAGATGTCAGACAGAAAAAACAACTGCTGTATTTTTCGCTCTATAAGACGCACCAGACCATAATACACTCCTAGTTTTTGGAGGAGGAAAACAAGAAAAAAAATATTCTGAATCTCAGAAGCCAGGACAGCAAGAGGGATCGCTGCGCAGTGAAAGCAGCAATCCCTCTTGCTGTTCTGGCTTCTGGGATAGGTGCGCAGCCTGCATTCGCGCCATAAGACGCACACACATTTCCCCTTACTTTTTAGGAGGGAAAAGGTGAGTCTTATAGAACAAAAAATACGGTATTTGACTTTCAGAAGATATCTGAAGGCAAACCAGTTTTGAATGGTTGATGTTTTACTGTGCTTTTAATACTTTGTTGGGAGCCGCCCAGGGTGGCTGGGGCAACCAGTCAGATGGGTGGTAAAGGTAAAGGGTAAAGAGACCCCTGACCATTAGGTCCACTCGTGGCTGACTCTGGGGTTGTGGCGCTCATCTCGCTTTACTGGCCGAGGGAGCCAGCGTACAGCTTCCGGGTCATGTGGCCAGCATGACTAAGCCGCTTCTGGCGAACCAGAGCAGCGCATGGAAACACCATTTACCTTCCCGCCAGAGTGGTACCTATTGATCTACTTGCACTGGTGTGCTTTCGAACTGCTAGGTTGGCAGGAGCAGGGACCGAGCAACGGGAGCTCACCCCGTCACGGGGATTCGAACCGCCGACCTTCTGATCGGCAAGTCCTAGGCTCTGTGGTTTAACCCACAGCGCCACCCGCGTCCCTATAGATGGGTGGTATGTAAATATAAATTTAAATATATATAATATAACAACAACATCGTATTGGATTTTAAGCCGGTGTTGCAAGCAGAACTTCCTGTAACCATCTAGGCTTCTGGAAGCTGTGAGGAGCCAACAGATGCTCAATTTGCTCCTGCGCATTTTAGTGTGTTTTGTTTTTTTTTTTTTTTTTGCAAGGGCCCATTTGCGTCAGGGGGGCACATTAGCCCCCCCTTCCTCCTCTACTCTGAATCAATCTAAGTGCTCCCAAATCACGACTGCCACCCGGGGAACTGGGCAGGCCAGACCGCTTAGAGGTTGTAAAATATTAATAATCCTTCTAATTGATCTCCCCATTTCACCCTCCCACCAACTTGCGCCCTTAGGAGATCCATACAAGAAAATAAGTGTGTTTGGAGAGAGAGAGGATTGTGATCTGACACAGCGGGGCATTGGGGGGGGGCAGAGAGAAGGGGGGGCGGTTGTTGTTCTTCTCCCTTTGACCCCGTCCAGATTGATTTCTGCAGATGCTTCTGCCAGGAGCCCGCAAAATACTTTAGAGTATTTTTAAAGGGTTTGGGGATCAATGGCGCGCCTGCCAAGTTGAATTTAAAGGGTTGGGGGGGGGGACAGGGAAGATGTAGGGGGGAGGAGGAAAGGAAGCGAAGAAGTGTATCCTAGAGGTATGGACCTGGCAAACAGATTGGCCCCCATATACGGTGTCAAGGAGTTCCTGAGGCAGTTTTTGCTCCTTTAGCAGACGGTCCATATGGTGCCAGATTTTAGGACTGGGTAAAAAATGGCCAGCTGTCGCTTGGTCCAAATGCTGACCCATAGATTTCCTGGCCTGCAGACCTCCGTGATGCTTTTAAAAAAGACACACACACACAAAAATGCCACTTGTTCAGGTCAAATTGTGACATCTGGCGAGACGAACTTGTGTCGTTTTTCAAGCCACACAGAGAGAATGGTGCCTTTATTTCGTTTTCTGTGCCTTCTGTGAGAGTTTTGACTCCAGGGTTTTGTCCAGGGCATTGGTTTCCAAAAATCCAGATTTAATTGCCTGCTTGAAGTCTATAAATGTCCGTTATCGACGTAGCAACTGTATTATTTTTATGTAATTCAAATCACGTGCAATTCTTATTGTTGTTGTTTTTTGCATATTCAGGGTGGCTCACTTTGAATATGAGGGCAGTTAATCATGGTAGCAGCAGCAGCAGCATTTATTTATTCAGAGAGATTTATAAACTGCTTCATAAAAAAAAGAGAACCAAATCTCTTAAGCGGTATACACAAAACAATATAAAAAATTATTAATAAAACAGAGGTAAATTAGCAAATGCTAAAAATGAGTTTTTTGCCGGCATATAAAATAATATAGCTAGGCTTAATATTACCATAATATTAATAAGTAGCAACCACAATATTAATAATTGTATTGTGGGCAGCCTATCATTTGGGCAGAGAAAGACAGTTATCATTTAATCAGTTTCCAACTTTGTAAATAACAGGTCATGGAAGATACTAAGGTCCAGTTTTTAATTCATTTTTTTCCCTTAAAGCTCAGAAAGGCAGCCTTTGAAATTGATTTGTCCAAGGTTACTCAGTGAAGGGCCTGTGAGGATTTTAAAAATCTTTAATACAATAACACACACGTGCACTGGTTCTATAAAATCCACGAATTATTATGTATGGGAAATGGGTGACATCAGTCTGTTTGCCAGTAGAAGGGGTGATTTTGGCAGGCTATAGGGGGGCTGTAAGGGGAAGTCAGACCTGTTGTGTGATCTGACGTTCAATCATGAATATTTAATTTTGGCAAAATTAACTGCTATAATAAGAAATCAGTCGAATAAAAAATTTAAAAAGGAGTGGAAATGTTTTGATGAAAATATGGCAAAATATTGCTAAAAAAAAAAAAAGAGATACGCTAATATGCCTAGATTAAAATGTGAAGTACTGGATGGAAAAAAAATTAATAAGGAAAGATACCGTATTTTTTGCTCTATAAGACTCACTTTTTCCCTCCTAAAAAGTAAGGGGAAATGTGTGTGCATCTTATGCAGCGAATGCAGGCTGTGCAGCTATCCCAGAAGCCAGAACAGCAAGAGGGATTTCTGCTTTCACTGCGCAGCGACCCCTCTTGCTGTTCTGGCTTCTGAGATTCAGAATATTTTTTTTCTTGTTTTCCTCCTCCAAAAACTAGGTGCGTCTTGTGGTCTGGTGCGTCTTATAGAGCAAAAAATACGGTGATAAGAATATATAGATGATTTGAGAAGATTGTAGAATGCAAAGATTATTGTAAATTGTATAATGTGGAGGAAATTGAGTGGGAGGAAGGAGAAAAGAATAATATGATGGACTGAGGAAATATAAATGTAAATGTATGGGGAGGAAATGGTGTTGGTTTTGGTACATCTGTATTGTAATGTAATATGTGAAAACCTATATATATATATATATATATATATATATATCACCCCCCCCAATGCTTTCAGCCTGGGAAAGAGACGACTAAGAGGAGACCACCGTAGTCTGTAAGATAAGGCACATGGAAGCAAATAAGAGGACTTAGAACTTGCAAAACCTCCATGCGCCCCTATTTTCCAGGGACTGTCCCTGATTCAAACAAGCCGGTTTCTCATTTGATCCCGGAATGTCCCGCTTTTCCTTAGGACGTCCCTATTTCCATCAGAGAAATGTTGGAGGATATGGCGTTATGGGACCCCCTCCTGAGCCAAGGAGATAAGTAACTATACAGCCTTTAGAAGACACCTGAAGGGAGCCCTGGATAGGGAGGTTTTTTTTAATGTTTAATGTTTTATTATGTTTTTATATATGTTGGAAGCCGCCCAGAGCGGCTGGGGCAAGCTTGTCAGATGGGTGGGGTATAAATGATATAATAATAATAATAATAATAATAATATTTATACCCCGCCCTCCCCGGCCAGAGCTGGGCTCAGGGCGGCTAACACCAGTAAAATTACAGTAAAATCATAATAGTAAAAAAAATCAGTTTAAAATACAGGTTAAAATGCAATGTAAAATGCAATAATAATAATAATAATAATAATAATAATAATAATAATGGAATAGGACATTCCTATTTTCATTGGAGAAACGTTGGAGGGTGCGAATTTGGAATGGGGCGGCGGCATGCTGTGTTGAAACCGATGGATCAGCAGTGAATTCAAGGCAGGAGATGAGGTTAAACCTTGTATTTAACTTGCGGGATCTGGTGGTGCCACAGGATATGGCTTTCAGTGGCAATAAATCTCTGGAAAAGCAGTTGCTATGGGGCAAAAGAGTAGAGGGTGGGAGAGAATTGCTGGTGTGGGGCAGGGACCCTTCCCACTGGGGCACCCCCCTGGCCAGGGCGGGACACAAGACGCTGGTGTGAATGGACTTTTGATCTGATCTTTCCTTGCACTCCTAATGCCTCTCTGATTTAGCTGGCCTTGGAGTGATCCTGCACCATTGGCCCAAATATATCCTCTGGACGTCTTTGATCCAGCGCTTAATTTCTGGGTTTTAAAGCTTACCTGCCATAGGTGTGGGCAGCGGGGGGAGGCTGCCAAGATTTTGTGCCACACGGTCGCTAAGGGACAGCGATCAAGTGACCCATTTGCATCTGCAAAGAGCATTCTCGTTGGCCCTAAGCGTGCCTTAGCAAACGGCGGATAATAATACGGCCGGGGCGTTCTTCAGTATCTGCATTTGGCTTCAGGGCCAAGTGAATACTCTGTGTTATTTATTTTTGTTTCGTTTTGAGAGATTAAAAAAACCCCCAAAACAAGTTGCCATAGAGCAGGGGTCAGCAATCTTCTTCAGCCGTGGGCCGGTCCACCGTCCCTCAGACCATGTGGTGGACCGGACTATATTTTGAAAAAATAATAATGAACGAATTCCTACGCCCCACAAATAACCCAGAGATGCATTTGAAATAAAAGCACACATTCTACTCATGTAAAAACACGCTGATTCCCGGACCGTCCGCGGGCCGGATTGAGAAGGTGATTGGGCCGGATCCGGCCCCTGGGCCTTAGGTTGCCTACCCATGCCATAGAGTCCACACTGTTCTGAGGCAGGAATCTGCCTCTTCCAGGTCAGATTATGGCTTCATCTAGTTCAATATTTCCCACACTGACCTGCAGAGGCTGTCCAGGATTTTTGGCAGGGGGTCATTCCCAGTCCAATGTGGAGGTGCCAGGAATCGAACCCAGGACATTCTGCATGCGAAGCAGGTGTTTTACCACTGCACCATAGCCAATCCCCCTCCTATTAGTATTTCCCCACCCTCCCCATTGGGGTACGCCATCTTGGCCCTTCCTTATTGGGGAAATGTTGCTTCAGTTTCCATCCGTTCCACCCTAGCGAAGTCGAGGAAAGCTACTTCCTAGGAGTTGTCATTTATATTTGATCCAAGTTTTTCGATGGAGGTTTAGCAACTTCTTGCCTAAACTACAGAAAGGAGAAAACACCGTATTTTTCGCTCCATAAGACGCACCAAGTTTTTAGAGGAGGAAAACAAGGAAAAAAATATTCTGAACGAAACAGTGGATGTATGATTTTTGTGATTCATACTGTGGCCACAGACATGATATGTGATTTGACGGTGAGTTTGGGGTATCCCAATGCAAAAATCCTGAGGATCCATGTGGATCTGTGCTTTGTAACCACATTTTGCGCCATTGCAGCACCACGAAACAGTGGATGTGTGTGTTTTTTGGTGCAGGCTGTAGCCATGGACATGCTATGTGATCTGATGGTGAATTTGGGGTGACCCAGTGCAAAAATCCTGAGGATCCATGTGCTTTTACCTCCCTCCTCCCAGGCAGCCTCCTTTATCGCTAGAGTCCCTTATCCCCCTCCCGATCTCATGCTGATCAGCTGCTCAGTGGCTTTGTTTCAACACCCCCTTCCCTCTTTCTAAAAACAACAACAACAACAACACAATCTGCTTTTTGCCCCTGGGCAATTCAGCTCCAGGGACCATGCATTCGCTCCATAAGACGCACAGACATTTCCCTTACTTTTTAGGAGGAAAAAAGTACATCTTATGGAGTGAAAAATACGGTATGTGCCTCCTGTTCGGTATAGAACTCCCTTCGCTCGCCCATAGCATTGCACCCTCACCTTCCCTCTGTTTTGCTACGTGAGGTTCTTAAGCAGAGGTTGGACAGCCCTCTCTCAGTGATGCTTTAGCTGAGATTCCTGCATTGCAGAGAGTTGGACCACATGACCCACGGCGTCCCTTCCAACTCTATGGTTCTGTGATGAAAGATGCTTTGACAGTGGTCCTAGCTTCTTTTGTGTTGTCCTTCTTCCATAAGCTGCCTTGAGGAGGGTTTGCATAAATAAAACTAAGAGGGAGGACAGGGATAGATACCCAGGGATGCCATGTTAGCAAGAGAAGCCTTCAAGCAGGAGGAAGAAGAAGTAAGCTTATTTTCTGTTGCTCCAGAGGGTAGGAACAGAGGAAATGACAAGGAGTTTCTGAATAAACACAAGGAAGAGCTTTTCTCGTAGCAAGAGCTGCTTGGCAGTGGAACAGATGTCCTCAGAAGGTGGTGGACTGACTCTCCTTCCTTGGAAAATTTTAATAATAATAATAATAAATTTATAATATAAAATTTATTTATACCCCGCCCTCCCAGGCCGGAACGGCTAACACCAATAAAATAAAATCACAGTAAAAACATAATAGTGGGAAAAGAGAGGGGGGGGGACCAATTTAAAATACAGGTTAAAATGCAATTTAAAATGCAGCCTCATTTTAAAAGAGCTGATAAATCAAGGCCATAAGGGGAGGGAAACATAAGGGTCAGACTGAGTCCAGAGCAAAGGCCAGGCAGAACAGCTCTGTCTTGCAGGCCCTGTGAAAAGAGTCAAGTCCCGCAGGGCCCTAGTCTCTTGGGACAGAGCGTTCCACCAAGTCGGGGCCAGTACTGAAAAGGCCCTGGCCCTAGTTGAGACCAAACTACCGTATTTTTCGCACCATAGGACGCACCGGCCCATAGGACGCACCTAGTTTTTTTGGGGGGAAATAAAGGAAAAAATTTTTTATTTCCCCCCCAGGTGCACTGTGCTAAGCCCGAAGCTTGGGGCGTGCGGAGCTCAGCGCGCCCCAAGCTTCTGGGTGCAGGCAAGCTCTCCTCTAGCCGTGGGAGAGCTGGGTCTCCCATGGCTAGCGGATAGCTTCCTGACGCCTGGAGAGCGAGCGGGGTCGGGGCGCACCGACCCCCCTCGCTCTCCAGGCTTCAGCGAAAGCCTGCATTCGCTCCATAGGACGCACACACATTTCCCCTTCATTTTTGGAGGGGAAAAAGTGCGTCTTATAGAGCGAAAAATACAGTAACCACCTTGCGACTTGGGACCTCCAAAGTGTTGTCATTTGTGGACCTTAAGGTCCTCCGCAGGGCATACCGGGAGAGGTGGTCCCATAGGTACGAGGGTCCCAGGCCGCCTAGGGCTTTAAAGGTCAAAACCAGCACCTTGAACCTGACCCTATACTCCACTGGGAGCCAGTGCAGTTGGTAAAGCACTGGGTGAATATGCTCCCATGGCAGAGACCCCGTAAGGAGTCTCGCTATGGCATTCTGCACCCGCTGGAGTTTCTGGGACAGCTTCAAGGGCGAGTTACAGTACTCAAGCCTGGAGGTGACCATCGCATGGATCACTGTGGCCAGGTCAGGGCGAGAAAGGTAAGGGACCAACTGCTTAATACGGCGGAGATGGAAAAATGCCACCTGCCAAACACCTGCCAAGACTTCTTTAGCTGTGATTCCAGGAGAGCATGCCAAAGGCCTGTTCCTGGATCTATGCTAGAGCTCACCACAATATCTCATGAATCGGTACAGGGTGCGCACACTCATGTGCAAAGTGCTTTTTCCTTCCCAGCCAATTAACCCTGAGATAATGCGGCAAGGTTTCTGGGGCACAGGCTGGAGCTTACAGCAGTGTTGGGTATCCCCTAGCCCCTCAGATGTTGTGGGACTACAGCTCCCAAACTTTTATATATATATATATATATATATATATATATATTAGTTTTTTAACATACCATTTCCAACAATAATTAAACATACTTTTACATCTTACTCAATTTTTTTGACTTCCATCAGTCCTGTCTGAAAATTTTCCAATCTAATCTCTCAGTATGCATTTCTTATTTTCCCTATTACATTTCAAACTCATAACCGATATCTCTATCTTTTTCTACTTTGTAACACTTCGTATATTTCTTCTTGTAGTCTTACTAGCGTAATTTGTTGATTACAGTTGCTCTTCAAATACTTCGTATATTTCTTCCAGTCTTCTGTAAATCCCTGGTCCCACAGGTTTCGAATCCTTCCTGTCATTTTGTCCAATTCTGCAGAGTCCATTAATTTCGTCTGCCATTCTTCTTTCGTCGGAATTTCTTCTTGCTTCCATTTCTGGGCTAACACTACTCTTGCCGCTACAGCCCCCAAACTTCATGCTGGCTGGACTTGGTGGGAGTTGGACTCAAGCGACAGAGTGGCTCAGTGGGGAGAGCATGAGACTCTTAATCTCAGGGTTGTGGGTTCGAACCCCACGTTGGGCGAAAGATTCCTCCATTGCAGGGGGTTGGACTAGATGACCCTACAATTTGGATTCTGTGACATATGGAGGACCACAAGTTCCCCTCCCCTGGCTTATAAATCCATCGTGCTGAAACGTTAATCACAGGAGGGAAACTGTTGAACCTCCTTTCCCCAGCAATGTGAGAACATTTAGCTTATCTCTTCTACAAATCTCCCTGCACTGTGTGTTTTCTTTAAATATGAGATGCTGTTTTGGTGGATTTAGGCACTTTATTTATGGCAATGTTAAATTTAAGTATCCTAGCCCATGCTCCTAGCCCGATGGTTCATAGGCAAGATATCCTATGAGAGTTGTCTAAGTAACGCGATGCCAAATAATTGAAATTTGATGAGAGATCGTGAGGAAGTCGAGGAGGAAGTGGCTACACCAGGATTTCCCCAACCTGGTGCCCTCTTTTTGTCTTGAACTACAGCTCCCATCAGCCTCAGCCAGCAAAGTCAGGGGTCAGGGAAGATGGGAGTTGTAGTTTAAAACAGGAGGAGGGCACCAGGTTGGGGAACACTGGGCTACAGACACCCTTCAGGACAGGAGAAGAGATACAGGTCACAGAGAGGTAGGAATATCAGGCCCCAGTTCACACTGCTTCATTTCGCCCGTTGAGATGGACCAGATTCAACTCGTGGGTGAATTTGACTTTGCTGAGTCAGGGCAACCAAGAATCATGGGAATTCTTTGAAAAACAGGATGAATCAAGATACGTTGCGGTTTGATGTGGACAAACATTGGCACATCTGTCGGGTCACACCTGTATGCCAAAAAGGACTGAAGAAATTTGCCGGTGTTGATTTCCTGGGTGGTTTTATAGGCAACCTCATAATGGCGGAGTTTTTGGAGAAGCGTTCTGAGTTGGCTAAAGAAGAGAGATCTAACGGCAGAACAGGTCAGCAAGAAACACTTTCTGGTAGTCAAAATAGGAGATGGCAGGGGCGAAGATACAGGTATTCCCATAGGCGTGAGTGAACATCCTAGTTTTTCATGTCAGTTCATGAACTCCTCTGTGTTCTCTTCCTTCTCCTCTCAACAGATGTTGTATTGTGTTTTTAATATTTTTTTGGGAGCCGCCCAGATTGGCTGGGGCAGCCCAGTCAGATGGGCGGCATATAAATAATAGAATTATTATTACTGTTATTATTAAGGTAGACAAAATGCTGCTTTGCTTGATGTGTAGGGAAAGGCCTTGTAAAAAAATAAAAGGCAGAGTCTGGTATTGTATTCCTGCATCATTTTGCTTCCAGCTGACCAGTTAAGAGTAGATATTATCAGTGTTTCGTAGCCAGTGTTTTTAAGATACTACTTATTGATTCCCTGCCGCTGCCCTTCCCACTAAGGTCCCAGGGTAAGGTCCCAGCATTTAAAACAACTGATAATCTCCTCAAATAAGGTGGTTTCTAAAAACATGCATCTCAGGTGTCAAAAGCCAGGCTAAAGATGTGTGTGTCCAGAAGCTGTATAGCAAAGGTACCAGGCGCCTTTCTTATTTATTTATTTTTCAAAAATATCTGTTTTTATTTATACTTATCCAAAGATGTACAAAAGTTCATACCCAATACAAAGTATCTTTTTTTAAAAAAAAAAATACACCAGAATAAAAGAAAGACTTTAAAAAAGGAACCGAAGCAAAAAGAAGGGAAAAAGGGAAAACAAAAAGAAAGAGAAAGGAAAGGGGAAAAAATATGATAAGACTTCTGGTTCTCTGTCCGTCAGCTAAATATAGTATTCACTGGTGCCAGACGCATTTCTGTGGGGAGTTTCACAGTTTAGGGGCCACCACAGAGAAGACCCTGTCAAAGGCACCACCTCCATATCATCTGAGGACAGAGGAATAGCCAAGGGGGTGGTCACTGGCTACAAAATACTGGTGGTGGATATTACAATGATGCCTTCTAGAGACTGGGCACCGTTGGCAGGCAGGACGCTGAGATAAAGGCACCACAAATCTCGCCCAAGACTCTGAGATGCTCAGGGATTTTTCACCTCTCTAGGGTCTGGCATTCCTGTTCCCCAGTGTCTCTGGGGATACAGTTGCCAACTATGGCTATTGGGAGCGGGAAAGCCAGTTCATGATTTGACATAATAATAATAACAATAACAATAACAATAATAATAATAATAATAATAATAATAACAACAACAACAACCTTCCCGGTTCAAAAAACTGGGCTCAGGGTGGCTAACAACAAATTCAAAACACTTAATTGATGCAACAAAATACAGCATAAAATACAGTATAAAACATGAATAACAATAAATTCAGAATTCAAAAATCAATTTAGGGGGATGCAGGTGGCGCTGTGGGTTAAACCACAGAGCCTAGGACTTGCCAATCAGAAGGTCAGTGGTTCGAATCCCCGCGACGGGGTGAACTCCCGTTGCTCAGTCCCTGCTCCTGCCAACCTAGCAGTTTGAAAGCACCTCAAAGTGCAAGTAGATAAATAGGTACCGCTCCAGCGGGAAGGTAAACGGCGTTTCCGTGCGCTGCTCTGGTTCGCCAGAAGCGGCTCAGTCATGCTGGCCACATGACCCGGAAGCTGTACGCCAGCTCCCTCGGCCAGTAAAGCGAGATGAGTGCCGCAACCCCAGAGTCGGCCACGACTGGACCTAATGGTCAGGGATCCCTTTACCTTTACCTTAAAAGCGCCCAGGAGATCTCTGCGGCATTGCGAGGTAGCCTGGCCATTTTGCTTTCCGTCTCTGAGGGATCCGCATATTTTCCCACCCACCACCACCTCTGTCTCACTAAGCCTTCATGGTCTAAGGAAGCTGAGACTTCTGGAATCAGGGAGGCTGCAGTTTCCTTTTAAGCCAACCAGACAAATACTTGGATAATCCAGAGGCAAAGTCAAGTGAAGGAGATCGCAAGCTCCAGCTCTGAGTGCGTTGGCTTCCTCTTTTAGATGAGTCTGGTGTCGGGGGGGCCTTTAAAATATTGCTCCACCTACACGGGAAAGAGTTCAGACCAGTAGTTCCCAGGCTTTTTTTTTTTTTAATTATTAGATTTTCCACAATAATAACAAAAACCACAAAGCAGAATGATACACAAAAACAGAAAAAAAAGAAAAATACATCAATGAACGGAAAAAAGGAACAATAAACAATAACAACAACAAACTTAATTCTTTACAAATCCAACCTTTTAAACATCTTGGTTGACTTCCTCTAGTCCCTCCCTTCTGAGTTTCCTTGTAGTTGAAAGTAACAGCTTTCCAATATCATTATTAAACTAAAACAATTTCTAATTATACTCCATCTTATTCACATTTCTTAATATTCTAAATCCCATTTATTTAATTATAACTTAGTTTAATCCTAAGCCTATTTGTTTCTTTCAAGTAATTTCTATTTTTTTATGTTACAATATTTGTTCAAATAGTCCTTAAATTTCCTCCAGTCCTCTTGAAACTCCTCTTCTTTCTGGTTGCGGATTCTTCCAGTCAGGTCGGCTAGCTCCGAAAAGTCCATCATCTTCATCTGCCAATTTCCCACTGTTGGTAGTTCTTGTGTTTTCCAATTTTTAGCAAGTAATATTTGGGCGGCTGTTGTGGCATACAAAAATAATTTAACATCTTCCTTAGTTCCCAGGCTTTTTCCGGCCATCACCCCTTCCCTTGGTTCCATATGCTCACTCCCCAGAGCCCCCTACCCTATTTTTTAAAAAAGCATTTTTCAGAATAGCGCAATAAAATGAAGCTTGGATTTGCAGAAGCTGCTCAGAAAAGAATGTACCCCATACTGTCAATTTAATGGTGTTTTTTGGGTGGTGGTGGGTTGTTGTTGTAAAAAGCCAATAAATTGGTTCCCCGGTCTACTTACTTATTCCACCTTTCCTCCAATATTTGCAGCGTCTCAAATATCAGTTGCTGGAAACCACAAGAGGGGAAAGTTGTTCCTGTGCTCAGATCCATAGCTGTCAACTTTTCCCTTTTTTTGCGAGGAATCCTATTTGGAAGAAGGGAATTTCCCTTGAAAAAAAGGGAAACGTTGATAGCTATGCTCAGATCCTGCTTGCTGGTTTCCCGCAGGTATCTGGTTGGCCACGGTGTGAACAGGATTCTGGACTCGGTGGGCCGGTTGTCCAGTCCTTCAAGGTACACTGGCTTTGAATATGGAGGTTCTCTTTTGGCTAACAGAGAGAGGCAAGAGTGGTAAATGTAATATGTAGCACAGAGAAGGGTAGCTCAGTCGGTATAACATGAGAGTTGTGGATTCAAGCCCCCACCTTGGGTAAAAGATCCCTGCATTGTGGGGTGGGACTAGATGACCCACGTGGTCCCCACCTTGAGATTGGACCTGGGATCTTCTAGGTACATTGCAAGGGCTCTGCCACCTACTCTGCTATCTGCCATGCCCCAGGGAATTGTGGGACCAGTAGTCTGGTGAGGATGCTGAGAAGGATATTTAGGGACTGCACAGAACTGCAGAATCATAGAATTGTAGAGTTGGAACGGGGCCCATCTAGTCCAGCCACCCGCAATGCAACAATCTCAGCTAAAGCATCCATGAAGCTGATTTGAAAGTGTGCCGTTGAGAACCCGTTTCCATTCCTAGACCTCGCCATAATGAGAGTGCAAGTCCATTGCCCAGTGCCAATCTTGACACGATCACTGCAGATGGGGACAGCAGTCACAAAATTAAAAGACACCTGCTTCTTGGGAGAAAAGTGATGACAAACCTAGACAGCATCTTAAAAAGCAGAGACATCACCTTGCCAACAAAGCTCCATATAGTTAAAACTAAGGTCCGTATAGTTCAAGCTATGGTTTTCCCAGTAGTGATGTATGGAAGTGAGAGCTGGACCATAAAGAAGGCTGATCGCCAAAGAATGGATGCTTTTGAATTCTGGTGCTGGAGGAGACTCTTGAGAGTCCCATGGACTGCAAGAAGATCAAACCTCTCCATTCTGAAGGAAATCAGCCCTGAGTGCTCACTGGAAGGACAGATCCTGAAGCTGAGGCTCCAAGACTTTGGCCACCTCATGAGAAGAGAAGACTCCCTGGAAAAGACCCTGATGTTGGGAAAGATGGAGGGCACAAGGAGAAGGGGACAACAGAGGACGAGATGGTGGGACAGTGTTCTCCAAGCTACCAGCATGAGTTTGACCAAACTGCGGGAGGCAGTGGAAGACAGGAGTGCCTGGTGTGCTCTGGTCCAAGGGGTCACGAAGAGGCGGACACGACTAAACAACAACAAACCTTGACTCTGGCCAATCAGTCAATCCTCCTCAATGTTTTCCAGAACTTGCTTAAGGGAACTTAAGCAAGTTCTGGAAAACAAAAGATCAAAGGTCTGGCATTTTGGGCTTTGCAGAGAAGCAAAGTGGATGGTCTCGTATCAGGAACCTTAGCCAGCTATCACGTAGGAAACCATTTTTTAAAAAATTATTTATTCATTTTTCTTTTTCATTCATTACATACATCTCAGATTCTTAACATTTAGTATATATTTCTCCCTCCCTCCCCTGCTAGGCTTCCCCCAACTTCCGTTTCTGGTTTGTTTCTCTTTTCGCCCACTTTGCTACCTATCAGAAAAAGTTATTAATAACATAACATCAAACCTAATAAAAAACATAAAAGTAAAAATGAATACACCATAATATTTCTCTATCATCTAAACATTTTCTAATATTATTAACGTGAATGTTTGTTTAAATCCTGCCATCAAGTCTACTGACTTTCACGTAGGAAACCATTCAGAAGTGTGGTGATGGATATGCCTATGTTGAATTTCAATGGAGGGCAGATTTGCCTGACTTGATCAGTGTAAACTCTTGTAATTCCAGGCTGGGTGCTCTTACACTCTCCTTGAGGAGATTAATCAGGCTAATAATAATAATAATAATAATAATTTTATTATTTATACCCTGCCCATCTGGCTGGGTTTCCCTAGCCATTCTGTGCGGCTCCCAACAAAATATTGAAAACATAAGGCAGGGAAGCTACTAAAATGAGTCTGACCAAACTGTGGGAGGCAGTGGAAGACAGGAGTACCTGGCGTGCTCTGGTCCAGGGGGTCACGAAGAGGCGGACATGACTAAACAACAAGGCAGGGATCATGGGAAACCTGTGAGCTGCCAAACATTGCTCTCATCATCCCCGACCATTGGCCACTGGGCCTGAGGTGGGTTGAGGGGGGCCAACGACAGCTGGAAAGTCACAGATTCCCCTGGAGAACGTGCCCCAAGATGGACAGGGGAAGCCATGTTCTAAGATGGACCTGCGTTTTGGGCAAAGTTGACGGGTGACTTTGGTGAAAAATACGAAGAGCCCTGTTGGATAAAGCCATTGGCCCGTCTTGACCAGTATCCTGTTCTTGCGGTAGCCAAAACCAGATGTCCATTATGGGAAACCAGAGAGCAGGATCTGAGCGCAAGAGCAACTCTCCCTTCCTGTGGTTTCCATTGCTGCCTGTGGAACATATTAGCCATTATGACAAGCAGCCATCAATAGTCCTCTCCTGTTGTTCTGTTAGGTTCGTATTAGCCGCCTAAACACGGAATTAACATTTCTTCAAATAGCAAAAGACCTGGCAAGGGAAAAACAGAAGAAGATGAAATCTGGTCCTACTCCAAAATGGGAAGGTTTTGAAAAATACTTTCCTTTTCTTTTGGACCAGAGAAGATCATAACCTGAGCCCAGTTCCAGTGTTCGTTCCTGAAATGGCTGGCTAGATTGGGGAGACTTAATGCTCCCTCTTAGGTGAGATGCGCCGGCAACCTTCCTGCCGCCCAGAGATGATGGGGCTTAATGTGAATGGAGTCTCTTCAATGCACAGAGAGTTTCCTCCATGAGGACTGGAACCCTGAGGGCACACGTTGTCGTCAACTGGGTTAGGGTTCATGTGTTCGGAATGGAAGATCGGGAATGGATTCTAGTTGGGTGCGAGAGGTGGAAGTCAGTGGTATCTTCAAGAGCTGTTGGTTTAGTTGTATGAGATGCAGCGAAAGGTCCCAGCATCTCTCCTGGAAGGGCTGTGGAATATGCCATCTGAAATTCTGCAAAAAGCCACTGCTAAAGGTACCCATGACTTGATCTATGCAACTTCCTGTGTCCTATGTTGGGCTCTGCACTAGGAAAGGGCCAGGTTTGCTGTTGTGTCGAACCCTGAAATGAGTCTTCTTAGAATCATAGAATTGGAGAGTTCAAAGGCCAACTCCCTGCAAAGCAGGAATTGAAAGAAGAAAGCAGGACGGGGAGGATGTGATCTTGCAGCCTTCAAGTGGTCCATCTTGTAGAATTATAGCTTTTTCCCAAGCTGGTGCCCTCCAGATAGACTACAACCCCCATCGTCCAGCGCAGCTGCGCAGGCTGCGGATGATGGGAGTTGTAGTCCAAAACTCCTGTAGTCCAAAACAGCTTGGAGAAAGCTATGTTATGTGATTTTATTTTATATTTTTAATGGTAAGTTAAGAACTGGGGAGGGAGATGCAGCAGCCTGCAATTGCCAAGTAGGAGGGCAAGTGGAGCAGTACTTCCTAATTAAAATCTAATCCTCCCAAGCTTACAGTTCTAAGATTTTCATCAAGCCAAAAGCCTGCCGGCTTTGGGGAAGGAGGGAGGGCCTCCGCCTGCGTCTTGCTAGCTGATCAACAAAGCATATGGCCGGCTCCAGGCTTGCTAAGATGCTATTAAGGTGGTAGGGAGACGTTCTGAGCCTTCCCCCGCTGATGCAAAGGTTGCCATGGGCTAACCTTCCTGCTGCCCTATTCGGGGCATTTTTGCAGCACTGTTTTTTGTTCTGCAGAGCTGATGGTGTGCGCTGTTTCATTAACATAGCTGTCAACTTACAGATTTGAAAATAAGGGACCAGCAGCCTCGAAAATAAGGGATCAGCAGCCAAAATAAGGGATCAACAATTACTTTGATAAAATACATATTTTTTTGCGTGCAAATGGCTTTAGCATATAATCAACACAAAAAACCAGCAACAATTTGTTGTTGACAAAGCACAGCTGGACATAGAAAGGGCCCCATTACCTTCAGTAGCTTATTTAAGGGACAGCAGCAGGACATGGCGCTGGGATAAGGGACTGTCCCGCCAAATAAGGGACACTTGACAGCTATGTTCATTAAGCTTTGGGTTTTATGCTTTAGGTTGCAGGAAAAAGAAGCGAAGGCAGTTGTTTGCCTTTGTGCAATAGCCCAGTGGCTACAGGTCTGTAGCATATTTGCGTGGCATTCTGAAGCGCGCAGTTAAATTACCTGCCCTGGAAGGGGTAGTAGGGACCTTTGGGTGGTGTCGTGGCAAGAGTGTCGGGCTAGGCTGCGGGAGGGACCAGGGTTCGAATCCTGACTCGGTCATGAAGCAGCCCTCTGGTTGACCTTGGGCCAGTCGCTGCTTCTCAGCCTAAGCCACCTCAAAGGGTTATTTTGTGGATTAAATGAGGAGAGGGAGAACCACTTGTGTTACCTGGAGAAAAAGGCGAGGCGTAAATGCAATAATAATGAGAATAAAATGTGCACAGGACGAACAGCCGTGGAGTCGTCTTTCCACTGAGGGGTAGCGGGTCTCCTTTTTTCCAACGGCGGGTTTGAACTGGGGTGAAACTCACTCCTGTCCTGTCTATGGCACTGGTAGAATTCACTGTGAAAAGACTCTATCAGTGAATTACCATAGGGCCATAAACAGAGCAGAGAAAGAACCACAAGATAACCTTCCCCCAAGAGCCATTCGCCCCGTTTGGTCGCCCTTTTGCTAAAACTTCCAGTGTTGAAGCAAAATGTGCATAAGGATGGGGAGCAATGTGCAATCTTGAGCGCCCCGGTTGACTAGCAAAGAGAAGGTTGAAAATGGAAGGCTTGGTGCACTTTGGAGCAAGAAGAAGGTTATATCTGGGACTGATGGGATTTGTAGTCCAAAACACCTGGAAGGGGGCTGATTTCTCTGCTCCAGGGCAATGTCCAGGCCTCCCTCACTCCACCCAATGATGCTTTTTGCACAGGGCTAGTCAGCTATATAATATTTGCACCTGCTAGGAAGTTGAACGAGGCCATCCTGCCGTGAAACTCTTGTGACGTCACGAGCAATTTAACAAATCCGATGTCATGGGAAGGGGGCCCTCTGCGTCCTTTTCCAAGTCCAGTTTTGTTGCAAAAGTCATGGAGGTTGGGATTTCTCGCTGTCGCTACTGGTTGGACTTAAGGTGGGCAGTGGCATCTGAACAAAACGTCCCGAAAGATGTCCATTTCCGCAAAGGTTTCCCGCGCTTTGTGTTGTAGGGAGAACAGGGGTCAGTTCTTCCGACTCAGTGTCCTGTTCCAGGGAGGAGATCTGGAACCTGCCGGAAAAAACCTCTGCTTGGCCCTTTTTGGCACTAGCACATTTTTGCTGTTGTATATATACTTTGAGCAATTATGTGTAGTGCCAATATGGGAGAAGATGGAAAACGCAACGATGTTTAGCCCTTGCCACCGCAGCCATCGGCATTTAGTATTTCCTCCGCACGCCCTTCCTTGTAGCTGTGTGTAGCCAGATTATGCCCTCGGCTCCTTCCTTACTTTTGGGGGTTTCTTTTGCTCTTGTGTTGCAGGTTCAAGTATGACACAAATGAAAGGTTCTACACAAAGGCAGGAATAGCCAGATGCACAAATATAGGGTGAGGGACAGTTGACTTGTGAAATGGATGTAGGGGTCTTAGTAGACCACAAGCTGAACATGAGCCAACAGTGTAATGCAGCAGCAAAATAGGCTAATGCAATTCTTGGCTGCATCAACAGAAGTCTAGTGTCCAGATCAAGGGAAGTTAAGAGTATTGCTCTATTCTGCCTTGGTTAGAACCCACCTGCAGGACTGTGTTAGGTTTTGGGTACCACAGTCTAAGGGATGCGGGTGGCGCTGTGGGTTAAACCACAGAGCCTAGGACTTGCCGATCAGAAGGTCGGCGGTTCAAATCCCCGCGACGGGGTGACCTCCCATTGCTCGGTCCCTGCTCCTGCCAACTTAGCAGTTTGAAAGCATGTCAAAGTGCAAGTAGATAAATAGGTACCACTCCGGCGGGAAGGTAAACGGCATTTCCGTGCACTGCTCTGGTTCACCAGAAGCAGCTTAGTCATGCTGGCCACATGACCCGGAAGCTGTACGCTGGCTCCCTTGGCCAATAAAGCGAGATGAGCGCCGCAACCCCAGAGTCGGCCATGACTGGACCTAATGGTCAGGGGTCCCTTTACCTTTACCTTTACCTTTACCACAGTCTAAGAAGGATATTGACAAGGTCCCAACTAAAGAAGAGTGGCAACTTAAGTTGACAGTATATGCACAGCTTGCAGACTTATAAGAGAACAAGAAGAACATACGTTTAGAGAAGACTGGAAAACGTTTATTGAATATATGGGAAATAACTGTGTACAGCTGAAAACGGTGGCAGCATTAAGATAAAGTCAGCAGTGTATAGTGTAAAGTTATGATGGATGTAATAATGGAATACTGAATGGTATAGTTTCTGTAAAATATTCAGGGATTTATGATATGTAAAATGAACCATGGAACAAGAAGAAGGGAAGTCACTGATATCTTAAGGATGTTTAAATGAGTACTTTGAATTGTAAAACAGAAAATTTAATGAAAAAAGGGGGAGGGAAAGAAGGATATTGACAAGCTGGAAGGTGGGCAGAGGAAGGAAACCAAGATGATCAAGGTTCTGGAAACCAAGAACCTTGGTTTCCAAGGTTGATGGTTTCCAAGGTTGATGAGGACTGGTTGAAAGAGCTGGGTTTGTTTAGCCTGGTGAAGAGGAGAGCGAGAGGAGATATGAGAGCCACATTCAAATATCCGAAGGGCTGTCATGTGGAAGATTGAGGAAGCTTGTTTCAGAGGGGAGGAGCCGAACCAATGGATTCAAATGATAAGCAATGAGATTCTGACTAAATATTAGGAAGCATTTTCTGACAGTAAGAGCTGCTCAGCAGTGGAGCGGTCTCCCTTGAAAGGTGGTGGACTCTTCTTCCTTGGAGGTTTTTAACCAGAGGTTGGCTGGCCAGCTGCCATGGATGCTTTAGTTGATATTCCTGAACTAGACAGTCCTTAAGGTTCTCTCCAACTCTGCAGTTCTGATTCTATGATCAAGGGATACCTGGAGGCCTGTCTCATAGCAGTAGAACTTTTGGACCTCCAGTGAAGCTGAATGTTGGAAGATCTCAGGTCAGATCAAAGAAAGTCCTTCTTTATGTGACACTTAAGTTAAAACTGTGGAACTTGCTCTCATAGGCGACACTGATGATCACTAACTTTGTTGTTGTTTAGTCGTGTCCGACTCTTTGTGACCCCCTGGACCAGAGCATGCCAGGCCCTCCTGTCTTACACTGCCTCCCGCAGTTTGGTCAAACTCATGCTGGTAGCTTGGAGAACACTTTCAAACCATCTCGTACTCTGTCGTCCCCTTCTCCTTGTGCCCTCCATCTTTCCCAACATTAGGGTCTTTTCCAGGGAGTCTTCTCTTCTCATGAGGTGGCCAAAGTCTTGGAGCCTCAGCTTCACGATCTGTCCTTCCAGTGAGCACTCAGGGCTGATCTCCTTCAGAATGGAGAGGTTTCATCTTCTTGCAGTCCATGGGACTCTCAAGAGTCTCCTCCAGCACCAGAATTCAAAAGCATCAATTCTTTGGCGATCAGCCTTCTTTATGGTCCAGCTCTCACTTCCATACATCACTACTGGGAAAACCAGAGCTTTAACTATACAGACCTTTGTTGGCAAGGTGGTGTCTTTGCTTTTTAAGATGCTGTCTAGGTTTGTCATTGCTTTTCTCCCAAGAAGCAGGCGTCTTTTAATTTTGTGTCTGCTGTCACCATCTGCAGTGATCATGGAGCCCAAGAAAGTAAAATCTCTCACTGCCTCCATTTCTTCCCCTTCTATTTGCCAGCAGGTGGTGGGACCAAAGATTAAGAAAATTTGTAGACAAATTCATGAAGGATGTGTCTATCAGTGGTTGATAGCCATGTCAGTTGTGTTCTGCCTCCCCCTTTGGCAGGGTCTTCTTATGTTCTTATGCTCATAAGGAATGTGGATTTCACTTTTGGAAAATTAAGTGATGGACCTCAGGTGGCTTTGGAAAAAGAAAGTGGCTCAGATAAATTCATGGTGGTCAGGTTGGCTGTCCATGAGAGTTACGAGGAGTTTCCTTATTGAGACACAGTCTACCCCTGAATACCACTTGTTTTTTGGGGAGCTCCTTCCTGTGGAATCTCTGAAGGCACCTGATTGACTCCAATAGCAAGCAAGATGGAGGACTATATGGATCTTTAATCTAACCCAGTAAGCCAGTTCTTATGCTTACCGCAGCAGTGCGTATCTTGCAATCATGCCATCAAGCACAGACGTTTGCATTAGAAATTTCAAAACTTTTGGGTGGCATTTATCCAGAGTGGACCCATTGAAATTACAAGCATGACTACGTTGGGTATATTAATTTCATTGGGTCTACAGAGAAAAGTGGAATAAAAAAATATTAATTTAGCAGAGGCTGTTACTCTTTGGGGAGGGGCATGTGCCATCCTCAGTTTTCATCTCTGCCCATTCTGAATGGGCAAGCTGGGTATCATTTTATGGCAATTCTCCAAACATTATAACGGACAAGGAAAGATTGTTGTAGTATGACATAGGTTTGAATAGCGCACAGAGCTAGGTTGTTCACACACCATGCATTTAAAGCACCCCGCCCCAAGAATTCTGGAAACTGTAATTTGCTAAGGGCGCTGGGAATTTGTAGATCTGTGATGGGTAAACTTCGGTTCTCAGGATTCATTGAAAATGTGTTGGAATGTTCTTTAAAAGTATGTTGTGTATACAACCCTTTGGCATTAGGAAGCCTCACAACAGTTAATTTTGCAAAACTGGGACAGAATCTTATTAAATGTGATTGATAATCTGCAAAATGAGAATGAAATTGGAAGACACCAATCTCACTCCATTACCCGAAACCACTCTAGCAGCCAGGGAGAGCTGGTACAAAATCATCTGTCCCATACATACACATTTGCTCCCTATATTTCAAAGGATTGGCTGGAATTGCATAAAACCTGTGCACTGTTTTCGGCTGTCCGTATGATTAATATCATATACAGATGTCATGAACGGTTCAGAAAGCTAGACTGGAGTACTCCTGTCTCTGTTAGACAAGAACAGGCAGAGGAAACTCCTGACTGCTGCAATGTACCTTCATCCAGTGCCCGTTCCTTACTGAACTGAATAATGAACACTATCCACACAACTTATTCTGCTCCTGTTTTAAAATAAACAATAAATAAATAAATAAACCAGGCCTGTTGAAACACTTGACGGTAATCGTCAAAGGCTTCTAAATAACTCTGCTGGCACAGGTGATGATCTGAGCCAGCCTTCCCCAACCTGGTGCTCTCTAAATGTCTTGGACCACAACTCTCCCCAGCTCCAGGTAGCCTGGCCAATTGTGGTCCAGATCAGGTGAGGCTGGTACAACATTGGTCTTAGTCTTAGAAGATGGCTCAGCAGATGCTCGTTAGATGAATTTGGGTTTCCGTACCCTCTCAGCAACAGGAGAAGACAAGTGTTGGTTTCTGTTAGTTCTACATTTAATCTCTATGGAATATGATCCAAGCATTGTTTTTGTTTTCTGATACAGTAACTGGAGTCTGCCATGCCTTTTCTCCATCAGGTTCGATGTAAACCTGACTCCTGGCTCTGCATGTACTAGATCTTCCACTGAACTGAGCTGGTTTTGCCAATTAACTGATTAGTTTGATTCCATTTTATGGGTCGCTTTCCATAAAACCCCTCCAAGTAGTTTTTTACAATAAAAATAAATAAATCAACAATAAAAACAATTTCATATGTAAAAACAATTACATCCCATTCTATGAATACAAACAGTTCCGCGTGCACGAACAATTAACAACAATTTCATAAGTAAAAATAATTTTGAGTAGGCTGGGATAAAGATCTCTGCTGAAAAGGCTTGTTGAAAAGGGAAGCTCTTCAATAGATGCTGAAGAGGCAACAGAAGCAGTGTTTGTCTGATATTTAGTGGGAGACCGTTCCAATGAATAGATGCCACCATACTAAAGAAACACTCCTAACTTCTTTTAGTTTGATAATCTGAAGAAGCAACTTCTCCCAGTTCAGGCCACTTTGGAATGAGCTTCTTCTCTGGAGTTGGAAAGGGTCTTCTGATTTGGCTTCCAGGAAGCTGATATCCCGTGTTGTATCAAGTCGCTATCAGTGCTGCTGATCCATTGCTTAAAACAGCAAGATGTGGAACATTCTTTGCAGGTTGTGCTGTTTTCCCTTGTCTCCCCATCCCTTTGAGGATAGTGAAGAGTAACAGTAATGTGGAAAAGGCTGTAAGATGTCCCGAAAGTCTGGAATTCTGTTGCTATAAAGTGAGTTCGATTGCCGGTCACAATTTTATCTGGAATGCCATAGCAAACAGGTATTCTTCAGCTGGGCAACACCAAACGTCAAACATTAAAAAAGTCCCAAAACAGGGCTACTAATCAGGTAAGGATGCAGCCTTCACCAACTCCAGATATTTCAGACTTAAAACTTCTATCAACCTCAGCCAGGATGGCTAGGGCTGATGGGAGTTGTAGTCCGAAATATCTGGAGGGCACCAAACTGGTGAAGGCTGATGTCATGATTAAAGGTTTCTTGCATTGTCTTGATCTGTTTCTTCTGCAGTAGTCGCAGGTCAAAGGTTTGCTTTTTTATGTCACTCTCAATACCAGGCCAACATACTGTCATCCTGGCTTGCTCATGGCATTTGGTTACAGATGAGGTTACTTTGCTTGCATATCATGGTGCAATAATACGGTTCTCCCTGGTTTATTAGGCCTTTCAATTTACTCAGTTGTCCTTGGTCAACAAATTGCCTCCAGGCATTGCTAAGGTATTTAGTGTAAGACTTGATCTTTGTGAATAGCCATTGAGATTTGATAAAGGGTGTTTTTGGGGTTCTGGGAGAGAGAGCATGTATAGCATAAAACAATAACATTTCCCTCTAATTCAGTGGTTCTCAACCTGTGTGTCCTCAGATGTTGTTGGACTACAACTCCCATCATCCCTGAGCTCTGGCCTTGCTAGCTAGGGGTGATGGGAGCTGTAGTTCAACAACATCTGGGGACCCAAAGGTTGAGAAAGGCTGCTCTAATTTGTATTGTTGGGCTTCATGGCAAGAGGGTGGCTGCTACTAGGGATGTAAGGAGCCATCATTATTTTCTGCATGCAGCCCTGTTTCCATTCGCCTGCAGTTCATCTTCTGCCACAAACTGCACGGTTGACGTTTTTTCCGATTCAGCATTAAAGAGTGGGTTTTCCAGAAGAAAGTGGTAGGGCAAGCAGAAAACCACTCGGATCTGTGCTTAGGAAGCACAGGAAAAGTGGCAAACCACTCAGACTCGTGCTTTCCAGGCACAGGAAGAGTGGATGAGCCCCTTGAGTCAGACCATTGGTCCATCCAGTCCAACATGGCAGCGACCTTTTTCAGTTTGAGGGCCACATGCCTTTCTGTGCAACCTTCCCGGGGCCATTTCTTCTTCTTTGGCAATCACTCGTAGCTGAGCAAGATTGTCTTCCATGGGTACGGTCTTAACAGTGAGTCTGTAAGTGACTGTGGAGGCCAATTCTGGATCCACACCTCCTTTCACAGTGGAGACATTGGTTTCCAGGTGGGAGTTGATCACGGTGTGGATTTGCCAAGTGTGCCTTCCTCTTAGCACGTTTGTCCCTTGCATCCTGAGTTTGAGTGTCTTCAAAGTCCATGACACCTTTGGTAAAGGCTGTTCTCCAGCTGGAGCACTCACAGGCCAATGTTTCCCAATTGTTGGTGTTTATACTACATTTTTAAAGATTTGCTTTGAGAGACTCTTTGAACCTCTTTTGTTGACCACTAGGGACACAGGTGGCGCTGTGGGTTAAACCACAGAGCCTAGGACTTGCTGATCAGAAGGTTGGCGGTTCAAACCCCCACGACGGGGTGAGCTCCCATTGCTCGGTCCCTGCTCCTGCCAACCTAGCAGTTCAAAAGCACGTCAAAGTGCAAGTAGATAAATAGGCACGTCTCCGGCGGGAAGGTAAACGGCGTTTTCGTGTGCTGCTCTGGTTCGCCAGAAGCTGCTTAGTCATGCTGGCCAAATGACCTGGAAGCTGTACGCCGGCTCCCTGTAAAGCGAGATGAGGGCCGCAACCCCAGAGTCGGTCACGACTGGACCTAATGGTCAGGGGCCCCTTTGCTTAGCATAACGCTTTCCATTTTTAAGTTCGGAATAGAGTAGTTGCTTTGGAAGTCAATAATCAAGCATCCACACAACATGACCAGTCCAACGAAGCTGACGTTGAAGAATCATTGCTTCGACACTCGTGATCACATGGCCATAGTGAGCAAGGGGAGAGGCAAAGCAGCCAGAGTATCACATGTAAAAGTTTGCTTTTGTACGCTAAGCTAGTTTCTACGCACAGTCTCACAACTCTCTCCATCCAGGGACACATCCCAGCTAGTGCTGGTGAGAGGTGTGGCACAGGAAGAAATGGGGGGCCAGATAGAGACTTCTGGGGGCTTGTGCTTGGTGCACGGCCCTGTGGTGCACACCATGCCAGAACTGAGCAGAACAAAGGCCGTTTCTGGTTCACCATGAATTACACAGGAGAGCACAATTTGAATGATGAGCTGTCTGTGCATTATGTAAACCTGATGCCCATTTCACACCAAAGGCCGTTCTTGGGCTAAAGGGTCCGTCCCTCTTACACCCTCCGTCCTCTGCTCCTCCTATCATGGGAGCAAGAGTGGTATAGTGGTTAGAGTATTGCAATAGGGACCAGGGAGAGGCCAGGGTTCAAATTTCCAGTTAGCCCTGCAGCTCACAGGGTGACCTACTTCACAGGAAAATTAAAATTAAAATAAAATAAAATAGGTTGTTGTCGGGTGGGGTTAAATGGAGAGGTGGAGAACTATATCCATCACCTGGAGCTCCTTGGAGGAAAAAATGGTGGGAGATAAACTCAATAAGCAAAATAAATGAAAACATGCTCATCCGATGGCCTACTTTAGATGCTTTAAAGGTCCATTCGCTGTATCCTTTTCCCGACCCGCCCTTTGGGAGAGACCCATTTTCTTCTTTAAGCCGCTGCTCTCAAGGAGATTTATTTTATTTCATGATTCCCTGGTTGTTTTCCTCCTCACCATGCACTCCACAGCCTCTTGCTTTCCCAAACGCCCACCTCGCCCCTGACTTTGCTGCTCATCATCTCGATGTCGGGGAAAGTGGATCGATTCCTGGACACCCGCACAGATAGATCTTCCTGTCAATTTTTTTCTGCACTAGCTCAGCTGCTGCCCTCTCCATTTCTTCTTCTTCTTCTGACAACCGGGTTGCAAAACCGCAAACCTGAGAACCAAAAGCCTAATGGGCTCTCTGACGCCATCGGCTGGGAACCAGTTCAGCTATTTTGCTATTTCCCACGATGGCTGCACATCAGGAGGGCATCAGGTTAAATTTGCATCCACTTCTGATGACTCACAGCTCTTTCTTTTCTCTCCATTGGGATGGCTCCTCTGGTAGAGCATGAACCCTCTTAAATCTCAGGGTTGCGGGTTCGAATCCCACGGCGGGCAAAAGATTCCTGCATTGCAGGGGGTTGGACTAGATGACCCACGGGGTCCCTTCCAACTGTGCAATTCTCAGATTCCATGACTCCCTTCCACGCAGGCATCTTGGTTTGTAAGCGCCTCGGGGCAGGGAACTGCATTTGTGCAGTGCTTTTGAACGCTGGTGCCACATCCATTAACATGATTCGGAAGAGGGTTGTTTTTAACGCAAGACCCTTTGGGAAATTAGCATGTAAAGTGGGGGTATTAAAAACACACACACAAAATAAATCTGGTTTTTAAGAAAATGCACTGTTGTCGCCACAGAAATTACACGGAACAGTTTGGCTTCCAGGGTGCAGATGTAAATTCTCTTTCCCCCTCCATGTTGAAAACCTGTTCCATAACACTGAGATGAGAATATGCGAGTGAATATTCTCCATTTGCCTTATTGCAAAAAGCAGATTTCTCATGCTGGATCAGGGCATTACTGGGAGGTTGCAAAGGGGTAGCCATGTTAGTCTGTTGCAGCAACGAAGAACCATATGTAAAATTCTGAGTAAATTTAAACTGATTATTTAGACTTTTAAGCTGTCGCGAGATCCCTCATTCTCTTTATTAGGAGAGGCTACTTGAGGAAAACATGGAGAAATGCCAAGAAATGGCTACGAAGCTATTTCTAACTGCCATTACGCTTGCAAGCCAAGTTTATTGAATGCCGCAGTTTAAATGGCCGCCTTCTCTGTCAGGTTCAATATGGCTACCGAAAGTTGTGTCATAGGCCATTCCTTGTGCTGGATGACGAGGGAAAACAAGAAAATAAGACTGTCGGCTCTTCAAGGAGGGTCGACATGAGGAGCCGAGTTTTCCTGGAAAGGAGCCGGCAGCTCTATAGGAAAGAACCGGGTGGGAAGCTGAGGAGACGGAGGCCATTTTGTTTTCAGTCCCTCAGGATGAAAAACCGCCTAAATGAGCAACTTGTGGTTTTCGTTTGCTTGTTGAAAAGGAGTAATAAGCTCTGCCGTTTTATCCCCTCCATGGCGTGAAAACTAAAAGGGCAGCAAGGTTCCCCTTCAGTCCCTTCTGGGCCGTCGGGGGAAGAGCGTGAGGGCGGCCATTTTGAAAAGAAGCCATCTTGACTGAGGTGGATGGAGACTGGAAAATGGCCGTCTCTGACAGGAATCGATGGACGAGAACGACAGGGTTTAAACTCCTCAAAAAGAGATAGCTGGGCTTTTAATTATTTAATGCCATTGATCTGGCTTATTATAGGATTTCTCACCAGGCCTTCAACCATATATGGTCCTAAGGGCAGGCTGACGCAGTTTTTTAAAACCAGATAAACATTATTTTTAAAAAAATGAGAAACCAACTTGGGTCTGGTTGGCCCAACTTGACCACTTCAATTGGCACAATTGCAGGTGCCCCAAAAATGTCCATTTCACGTTTGTAAGTACTTGGTCTTTTAGTGTTGTTGCAGCAGCAGCACTGTGGAACTACCTGCCTCATGATATCAGGCATATGCCTTCAATGTAATAATAATAATAATAATAAAAATTTATTTATACCCCGCCCTCCCCAGCCAAGGCGGCTAACAAGCAATAATAAAAACAATGTACTTTTTTTGGCGTCTGCTAAAACCAATTTTGCTTAGACAGGCCTACCCAGATGCTTAGAAGGTCGAGGTCATTTTAGTCTACTTTAGTATTTTAACTTTTGCATGTTTTTAAAAGTATGGTTGTGGTATGTTTTTTTCTCTGTGTTTTTGCTTTGTCTATTTGTAAACTGCTTTTTTTTTTTTTTACATTCAGCTAGCGGGATGTAAATTTAATGGAATAATAAATAAATAAATACTGTTTGAATTGGAAAACGGAGGTTTTTATAAAAACACCCCTTAGCTGTCCAAGGCTGGGGTAAAGAGTTGCATCTCTTTTGTTTTCATTTTCTTTTAATTTCAAAACTTTATAACCCGCCTGCTAGCCCTGTAAGGTCTCTCAATATGGCTTATCCTGGAACAGGGGGAAAAAATACAATCCAAAATGCATGATTATTATTATTATTATTATTATTGAAAGGAGCCCGGCATAATGTACAAGAGGTAAGTTAATATAATACGATAACTTAAAATGTACAGGAAAATACACACAGGCACACACTCCACCATAAATAGCATTTAAAAAGCTTTGCGAGAACAGAGCTGTCTTGCTTTAGTGCCCAAGACAAAATGGAGGTGCCTGGTGGGCCTCTTTAGGGCGGCTGGAGTCGTGCCACTACCACCAAAAAGGCCCTGCTTCAAAAACGCGTCGCTGTTACCTCCTGTGAAATGGAAACTGAAGCAGAGCCAGGGGCGTAGGAAGGGGGACGGGGGGTGTAAAAAATGAACAATTACTGCCCTGCTAGGGCGGTTCATAAAAAACTTTTTTTTAAAAAAATGCCTGCTCCAAAGGTCTTATCCTACTACACTAGGGATTATATAGCTATATCTGAAATTTCATGCATATCAGTTAATATCTTGACCCTACTCCACGAAAATAACTGTTTACTTGGCTGTATTCATCTGACATGAAGGTTGAAATTTCAATTCAGTGGAGCCAAAACACAATCCACCCTGTAGATTTAAGTATCTGTCCACAGATCTGTTATCAGAGGCCCAGAATCCACATTGTAAGAAAATATGAAATAACGTAAAACTATTTTTGCAGGCCAAAAAATAATCAATGGGGGGGGGGGTGACAAGAGATTTTCCACACCATGGAGAGATAAAATCAAGATATGGAAATATGGAAATATTGATGAGAATCAGGACTGAGATTTGGAAATGCTTTGAGGTCCAGACTGTGGGAAGTCGTAAAATCAAAATTACAATTCAGAAGACAATTGGATTTTTTATTTTAGTTTTTTACTTTTGATTTGATATGTTAATTGGATGTTTTTTATTGGAAAATTAATAAACGCTCTAACGAAGCAAAAAAGAAAAGAAATTTTCCACACCAGGTACCACCCGACCTTCCTGCGCCTCTGAGCAGAGCCCCCTAGTTATCTTAAATAAAAGCTGGGGCAATAAAACAGGAGATGAAACACACATGCACTTTCTGCATTGATGCGTTTGGCCCAGATTGGGCCAGGGCAGAGATCAGCCGCTAGACTCTCTAGGACCAAATCCGCCCGGTTTCTCCCCAGACCCATAAGGTGAGTGTAATAATAATAATAATAATAATAATAATAATAATAATAAATTTTATTTATATCCCGCCCTCCCCAGCCGAAGCCGGGCTCAGGGCGGCTAACAACACTAAAATAGTGCAACATTATAAACATTATAAAAATTAATTAAAATCAAAATTGATGGCAACCATAAACTAAAGTTTTGTAAAGATTGCCAAAGGAGGGAGTCAGGCTGTGCCCTGACCAAAGGCCTGGTGGAACAGCTCTGTCTTGCAGGCCCTGCGGAAAGATGTCAAGTCCTGCAGGGCCCTAGTCTCTTGGGACAGAGCGTTCCACCAGATCGGGGCCAGTACTGAAAAGGCCCTGGCTCTGGTTGAGGCCAGCCTAACCTCTCTGTGGCCCGGGACCTCCAAGGTGATTTTGTTTGAAGACCATAAGTTCCTCTGTGGGACATACCAGGAGAGGCGGTCCCGTAGGTACGAGGGTCCTAGGCCGTATAGGGCTTTAAAGGTTAAAACCAGCACCTTAAACCTGATCCTGTACTCCACCGGGAGCCAGTGCAGCTGGTATAGCACCGGGTGAATGTGATCTCGCAGCGAAGACCCCGTAAGGAGTCTCGCTGCAGCATTCTGCACCCGCTGGAGTTTCTGGGTCAGTCTCAAGGGCAGCCCCACGTAGAGCGAGTTACAATAATCCAGTCTGGAGGTGACCGTCGCGTGGATCACAGTGGCTAGGTCAGGGCGAGAGAGGTAAGGATCCAACTGCTTAGCTTGGCGGAGATGAAAAAATGCCGCCTTTGTTATAGCTGCAATCTGCGCCTCCATAGAGAGGGAGGTGTCGAAGATTACACCCAAACTCTTAACGGACGGTGCTGGCACTAATTGCGCCCCCGCAAGAGATGGGAGTTGCCCCCTCAATCCCATATCGTTCCGTCCCAGCCAGAGGACCTCTGTCTTCGAAGGATTTAACTTCAACTGGCTCCCACGAAACCATCCAGCCACAGCCTCCAAACATCTGATCAGTGTGTCTGGGGCCGAGTCAGGATGGCCATCCATCAACAGATAGAGCTGGGTGTCATCGGCATACTGATGGCAACCCAGCCCAAAACTCCGGAAAAGCTGAGCGAGTGTTAGTGGGCCTGCTGGCTGCGGCCATCCGCTTTGGGGGAGCAAGCGAGGCCGCAAAGCGACATGTCTCTTGCACGCCAGACTCAATTTAAGGGAAATTTTTAAGTTTTAGGACTTGGGGAAATTTTTAATGACAGATGTTTTGATGTATTTTTGGATTATTTTCAATTTTATTGAAGTTATTCACAACACAAATCTACTACAGCAACAACTGAGACAAATAAACCCACCACCATAACATCTAAAACGAAACAAACTTTACAACAATACACTTACAACAAAGAAAAACGAAATAAAGGACTTCCTTTATCCTGTACACGGCTTCCTTATTTACTTCTTATAAACTGTTTCCCGTATAGATAACTATGACTGGTTGTCTCAAATTGTAACTTAAGAACCATAAATCCTCCTGCAAGAATTAATCGAAACAAGTCCGGGTGGTTATTTGGGGGCACTGCTTTAAGGTACCGTATTTTTTGCTCTAGAAGACTCACTTTTTCTCTCCTAAAAAGTAAGGGGAAATGTGTGTGCGTCTTATGGAGCGAATGCAGGCTGCGCAGCTATCCCAGAAGCCAGAACAGCGAGAGGGATTGCTGCTTTCACTGCTCAGCGATCCCTCTTGCTGTTCTGGCTTCTGAGATTCAGAATATTTTTTTTCTTGTTTTCCTCCTCCAAAAACTAGGTGCGTCTTGTGGTCTGGTGCGTCTTATAGAGCGAAAAATACGGTATTTTTAATCTTTTGTCGGAAGCCGCCCAGAGTGGCTGGGGAAACCCAGCAAGATGGGGGGGGGGTATAAATAATAAATCATCATCATTATCATCAACGGCATCCTGGACATTTTTCTCTCTGTTTCAGGCATAAAAGCATCTCTGGCCTGCCGCGAAAGGATCGACCCAAACGTTAACCTGGATGCAAAGGTATAATGAGCCATTGGGAGTGCTGCACGGACGCCATCCAGAAATGCCGCCCCCACCTTTCTTCCTCCTTTGCAGGCGATGGCGTCAGTCAGGATGCGGCCCTCCTGTGTCGCTTTTTCCAGCCGTATCCTCTCTCTCTTGCTGTGTTTGGCAATGGTAGAACTCACACTGGTGAGGTATCATGATCCGGTGGTTCTAGACTTGCCAACTACAGCCTGAGGGTCGAGCCTCAGTCGCCCGTCCTGCGGTCAGGGAGAATGGACCCGCTAGCAAACAGCTCCCTCTGCCAGTGGTCGAGAGCAGGCGCAGACAGAAGTGAAATTCCAAATTCTCTGCCCGCTCAGGGTCACAGAGCAAGTAGTCCTTCGGAACGGGGGGCTTCCCCAGCCCCACTCTTGGCTTGGGTTCAGGGGGGCTGCACGGGGCCACTGAAATCTTCTTGTGCCAAGATGATTGTTTCTTCTAACGAGGGATAGAAATTTTTAAAAAATAAAATAGAATTCAAGTTTGTCCTCATTGAAGATGGAGGCTACCATCTTGAATTGTGAATTTATTGTGTATAAATGTTGGCTGCAAGGAGTGTGTTTATGGAGGGCGTGGAGGGGTACCAGGCTCCAAAGATATGGAGTCTTTCGTAAAAAGAGATTGCGGGATTAAGCCAAAGTGCAGCATCCCGTTCTCACGGTGGCCAAAAGAGAAGCCTGCAAGCAAGATCTGAGCACAAGAACATTCTCCGCACTTGCAATTCCCAGCAATGGAGGTGCTGCAGAGAGGCTCAAAATGGACTATTTTTTTTTTAAAAAAAGATGAATGCTGTTGTCCTCTGTGTCTGGGACTAGCTTTCACACGGTCTCCGGCACAGTTCCGTTCCTAATCTACATTTCCTCTCGCAAGTGCCCCTTGTCCTGTCTCAAGGCCGCAAACTGGTTCCTTGCAAACAAAGAACCACCCCACCACCTTCCAAATTCTGCATAACCTTTGAAATATAACCTTTGAAATTACATGTCGCTGATGCTTTGCAATAAAAGTTCCTTCTTTTCTCTGGGATCCTATTCCTATTTTGCAGGGGGGCAGGAAGACACCTATCTAATAGGTCTTGGGGGGAAAAGGGCTAAACTGCTTTGAAAGTCCAGCGGGCTTTCCGCATGGCCAGATTTTTGCACAATTGCACTTGGGATATACTTCACAGCAGCCCCCTCCTCAAAATGCAAAGGGGTCTTGCACAGTTCCTATTAGTTTCAATCACTGTTAAGGTGACCAGATTCACCTTCCCCTGCCAAGACATTCGCTCTGTCTTGGCCTCAGTGGCTCATCTGTATAATGGGAATAATGAAACTGTTGTAAGCACAAAGTGCAGGTAGCGGGGCAGTAAAGGACTTTGCTAAGCGGAAATGCAACTTAAAAACACACATCGTCGCAGCAGCTTCGAGGAACACCATTCTACTGAATCAGACCATTGGTGAAGCTAGCCCAGGACTGTCCACACTGGCAGCTCTCTGTGGTTTCAAGACAGGGGCCTTAACCTCACTCTAACTGAACATGCCAGGGATAGGAGCTGGGCCGTTCTGCATGAGAGGCAGTTGCTCATTCACTGAGATATAGAAGATAGGAAATAATAATTATTATTAATAATAATAATAATTTATTTGTACCCCGCCCATCTGGCCGGGCCTCCCCAGCCACTCTGCACGGCTTCCAACCAAACATTAAAATACAGTAATACATCAAACATTAAAAGCTTCCCTAAACAGGGCTGCCTTCAGATGCCTTCTAAAAGTCTGGTAGTTGTTTTTCTCTTTCACATCTGGTGGGAGGGTGTTCCTCAGGGCAGGCGCCACCACCGAGAAGGCCCTCTGCCTGGTTCCCTGTAATTTGGCTTCTCGCAGGGAGGGAACCGCCAGAAGGCCCTCGGAGCTGGACCTCAGCGTCCGGGCAGAACAATGGGGGTGGAGATGCTCCTTCAGGCATACTGGCTTTACCAGACCAATTGGTCCATCTAGATCAGTATTGTCTGGACTGATTGGCAGCAGCTTGCCAGCGTTTCAGACAGGGCATTTTTCTAGCCCTCCCTGCAGATTCTGGGGATTGGACCAGAGTCCTTCTGCATGCAAAGCAGGTGTTCCGTCACTGAGCTACTGCAGCCCCTCTCCCTTAAAGGGCAGCATTCCCACATTGGCGAGGGCGGCTTCCAGGAGGCCTGTGCCCCAGAACCCCATTGATTTGGAAATCTGCCCTAGTGGAGCTGGAAAAGCAGATGTTCCTGAGGCCAAAGTGATTTCCTAGTACCTGACGCTCAGCAAACCACGTTTGCTTTTTCACCTCCTGTTTCTTCATACCTCCCTGCTCCTGACATAACTTAAAGGTAAAGGGACCCCTGACCGTTAGGTCCAGTCGTGGCCGACTCTGGGGTTGCGGCGCTCAGCTCACTTTATTGGTCGAGGGAGCCGGCGTACAGCTTCCGGGTCATGTGGCCAGCATGACTAAGCCGCTTCTGGTGAACCAGAGCAGCGCACAGAAACGCCGTTTACCTTCCTGCCAGAGCGGTACCTATTTATCTACTTGCGCTGGTGTGCTTTCGAACTGCTAGATTGGCAGGAAGACATAACTTGCTGTAAGGCAAATTACGGATTCCTTCCTCGTTCTCGATGGAAAATGTGCCGCCACCCCCCTTCCGCCGTGCAGGTGTTTTGGATGCTGGGCCTTCCGCCGGCCTGGGCGTTTCTCCTACTTGCGCGGCTGACGGGAGCTGACAGGTTAAATTATGCATGACCCGGGATTCGATTTGGACAGGTGTCTCTCGTGGAAACAGGACTGAACAAGACTCCGGGCGCTATCCAGCCAGGAACTACAGAGAGCCCAAAATGAGAGGGGCAGTTTTCATGGAGTTAAGGGGCCTCGCTTCTGAGTTTTGGCTTTTGGATCTGCTCTGCCAAGCACTGAAAATCTTCTTTAAAAAGATGGGGGCCATTCATCCCGCCAAATGAGATCCTACACTGTTAACCACACACAAAGAGATTTCTAAAATCTCACTCAGAAACTGATCACTTGGCACGCCCTCATTCTCTCTCTCTTTTATTTGACATGCCATCTATTTTTCTTACATTTCCATTCCACCTTTGCACCTTTGGCCAGGTGTTTATTTTAGCTCCTTCCAGTCTAGCCACATACTGGGAGCATTTGAAACAAATAGAGAAAATCAGCAAAAGCAACCATTTTTACTGCCAGGATGCGTCCCTGCCGAGACCCTGCCATTCCTTCATATCCCTCCCAGTTTGTGACAGGAAGGGAGGACAGGTGTGCCTCTGGAGTGGCCACAGGTCTTTGGGGTGCTGTCCCTAGATATTTTGCAGACTGCTTTGTTCCAACAGACGCTAACTTTGCTGCGCATCCCAGTTATCCTCTTTCTTTTCTAAGCCTCTGCAGAGTGAAATACCAGCCAGTGCCTGTAAACACTAGCATGGTAAATATTTTGCTTCAGATTAACTGAGGCACCTTTTTAATCAATTAACAGTGCCGAAGTTCAGTGGGTCTTACTCCCAGGTAAGTGGGTTCAGGACTGCAGCCTAAAACTCATCATATTTGCCCAAAATGAGCAAAATCTGACCTCAGGTTTCAGCTGTACAGGGAACTAACCTGGTGGACAGGAACCTCAGGCCCAGATGCGGCCCTCCAGGACTCTGCGTCTGGCCCTTGGAATGCTTGCCAAGCCAACCTCTCTTACTGGGCCTGTCCCCCCCCCTTTTAAGTGCTTTTCCCTGGCTGGAATGTGACCTTGAACTCTGATGATGCCTCTGTCGGAGGATAGACAGGTGTACGGACCTGGGCGGGAACTACCTGGTTGCTTATTGCATAAAAGGTAAAGGTAAAGGGGACCCCTGACCATTAGGTCCAGTCGGGGCCAACTCTGGGGTTGCGGCGCTCATCTTGCTTTATTGGCCGAGGGAGCCGGCGTACAGCTTCCGGGTCATGTGGCCAGCAGGACTAAGCCGCTTCTGGCGAACCAGAGCAGCGCACGGAAACGCCGTTTACCTCCCCGCCGGAGCGGTACCCATTTTCTCTACTTGCACTTTGAGGTGCTTTCGAACTGCTAGGTGGGCAGGAGCAGGGACCGAGCAACGGGAGCTCACCCCGTCGCGGGGATTCGAACCGCCGACCTTCTGATTGGCAAGTCCTAGGCTCTGTGGTTTAACCCACAGTGCCACCCGTGTCCCACAACATTGGGGTTAGCAGCTAATAAAAGTTTGGGTTCTCTTTTGTTTGGGGCTTCCATCTTGTTTCACCTTGTGGCAGGTGGGAGTCCTGTCACGACAGTCTTCAATAAAGACCAAGCCTACTGGCTGCTGTTTTGCTCTGGTATTCCTGGCTGGTGTCCTTGCTTTTTTGTCCAAGGGAGCCTTCAGATTTCTCTGTTAACATCCTCCTCCATGAATTTGCTGACCCCTGGTTTAAAGGTAAAGGGTAAAGGGACCCCTGACCATTAGGTCCAGTCATGACCAACTCTGGGGTTGCGGCGCTCATCTCGTTTTACTGGCCGAGGGAGCCAGCGTACAGCTTCCGGGTCATGTGGTCAGCATGACTAAGCCACTTCTGGCGAACCAGAGCAGCGCACGGAAACACCGTTTACCTTCCCGCCGGAGTGGTACCTATTTATCTACTTGCACTTTGACGTGCTTTCGAACTGCTAGGTGGGCAGGAGCAGGGACCGAGCAATGGGAGCTCATCTTGTTGTGGGGATTCGAACCACCAACCTTCTGATCGGCAAGCCCAAGAGGCTCAGGGGTTTTAACTATACGGACCTTTGTCGGCAAGGTGATGTCTCTGCTTTTTAAGATGCTGTCTAGGTTTGCCATTGCTTTTCTCCCAAGAAGCAGGCGTCTTTTAATTTAGTGACTGCTGTCACCGTGATCATGGAACCCAAGAATGTAAAATCTCACTGCCTCCATTTCTTCCCGTGGAAGACAGGAGTGCCTGGCATGCTCTGGTCCATGGGGTTCACAAAGAGTCGGACATGACATTGTTCGAGCCCCACATTGAGCAAAAGATTCCTATTTTCCCCCAATTTTTTTTTATTGATTTTCCACATTTATAACAAATATAACAAATAAAACACACAAAAGAAAACACAACAATACTAAAAAAAAATGAAAAAACCAAACCAAACCAAACCAAATATATAAACTCTTATTACTTCTAAGACCCAATCTACCGTAGCTTTCATTGTTATCTGACTTCCTTAACCCCCCCAACTGAATTTCTTTGTATCACCTTGTAACAGTTCTCCAAAATCATCTTTCTAATAAAATTAACTCCTTCAATTTACTATCATCTTCTCTTTTCTTAATAGTCTAAATCCATAATGCTTTGCAACTCATTAGCCTATTTGGTGCTTTCAAGTGACTTCTAATTATCTTATATTACAATATTTAGCTAAATAATCTTTCAATTTCTTCCAATCTTCTTGGTATTCCTCTTCTTTCTTCCAGTCAGGTCGACCAGCTCCAAAAAGTCCAACATCTTCATCTGCCATTCTTCAACAGTTGGTATTTCTTGCGATTTCCAGTTTTTAGCTAATAGCTGCACATTGAGCAAAAGATTCCTGTATTGCAGGGGGTTGGACTAGATGACCCTTGTGGTCCCATCCAACTCTGCAATTCCATTATTCTTTCTTCCTGATTTCTCCATAATTTCCCCGCCCCCACCCTGCCTGCCATGACATATCTCCTCCTCCTTTTTCACCTCCATCTTCCTCCTCCAGTCTGCCCTTCACTGTAACAGGTAAGGCGCTAATGCAAATAATTCCTGTTTACCGCCAGCCGGGCCTTGCAGCCGAAATCGAAATCTAGGCCACCGCCGGCTGATGGTGGCGCTTTCAGAATAAGCTGTTTGGATAGTGGATGAGGACTGGATTAAGGGCCGAAGGCTGTCAGCACTTAAAAATAATGTCAGATTCACAGCTGATGCGGGGGAGGGATGAGAGAGGGATGAGGGGTCTCGCCATGCAAGGCTTATGGGGCAAGACGGGGATTGGATGGGGTTGCCAGGCAACCGGTATTTTACTGGTCCCATTAAGA